ACCTACACACATGCGCACACACCTACACACACACACCTACACATACACCTACACACACACCTACACACACACACACCTACACACACACACCTACACACACAGACACACACACACCTACAGACACACACACACCTACACATACACCTACACACCTACACACATGCGCACACACCTACACACACACCTACACATACACCTACACACCTACACACACGTGCACACACCTACACACACACACACACACAAGACTGTTTAAAAAGTATTTCATCAACTTGTTCAGAGTTGCTATGCGCTGTCATTTGACATAAATGCCCGTTCTCAGCAGTTAGGTACGTAAGAAAATTTAAAGTGAATTATGTTAAAGAAATTTTCCTTTAAACTGAAGTGATTGGTAGAAGGATTAAACGGAGCGATGAAGATATCAATATTTCATCCAAAGGATTCTGGAACTCACTGCCTGAAAATGTGGTGGAGACAGAAACCCCCAGCCCATTGAACAGATGCCTGGATAAATACCTGGAGTAGGCCAGGTGTTGTCTGTTGGTAGGCACAGATCAAATTGGTGGAGGACATCCACCTGTGCTGTAATTTTTTTCTACTTTTTCGAAGTGTTCCAAATATTTGAAAAGGAGAAAGGTGCAGCCGTGTGGGGGAGGGAGGGGCACTGCATTAATTGCTGGTCAGGTGACATAGAGTCATACAGATGTACAGCACCGAAACAGACCCTTGGTCCAACTTGTCCATGCCCACCAGATATTCTAAATTAATCTAGCCCCATTTGCCAGCATTTGGCTCATATCCTTCTGAGCCCTGCCTATTCATGTAACCATCCAGATGCCTTTTGAATGTTGTAATTGTACCAGCCTCCACCACTTCCTCTCGCAGCTCATTCCATACATGCACCACCCTCTAGGTGAAAAAGGTACCCCTTAGGTCTTTTTTAAATCCTTCTCCTCTCACCTTAAACCTATGCCATCTAGTTTTGGACTCCCCTTCCCCGGGAAAAAGACCTTGTCTATTCACCTTATCCATGCTCCTCATGATTTTCTAAACATCTGTAAGGTCACCCCTCAGCCTCTGACACTCCAGGGAAAATAGCCACAGCCTAATCAGCCTCTCCCTGTAGCTCAAATCCTCCAACCCCAGCAACATTCTTGTAAATCGTTTCTGAACCCTTTCAAGTTTAACAACATCCTTCCTATAGCAGGGATACAAGAATTGAGCACAGTATTCCAAAAGCAGCCTTACCAATGTCCTGTGCAGCCGCAACTTGACCTCCCAACTCGAAACTCAATGCACTGACCAATAAAGGCAAATGTACCAAAAGCATCTTTACTATCTTATCTACCTGTGACTCCACTTTCAAGGAACTGTGAACCTGTACTCCAAGGTCTCTTTATTAAGCAACACTCCCCAGGGCTTTACCATTAAATGTATAAGCCTTGGCCTGGTTTGCCTCACCAAAATGCAACATCTTACATTTATCTAAATTAAAATCCACCTACCGGAGGGCCAGAGGATACAGGATAGATTGACTGTCCCTTTTCTGTACTACAAAGATTCTATGATTCAATCTGAACAAAACCAGCTGATTTAACTCTTCCAACCTTGTCCACTATTATTTGAAATAATTAGTTATCTGTATCTTTACACCATTTCCTCTCCTTTATTCCACAGTCCTTTATACCCATGACTTGCCAATATCTGTCAATTTAAATTAACTGAGCTAATTATATTGCTTTCTTTAGAGAAGTT